GTAGTCGAGCAGGTACTGAAACGAGTAACTCCCCCATGGGAATTTCTCCCACATCTATTCTTCCTCAAGCAAAGCCCACCAGCAGGTATCAATACCAAGCCTTCTTGTCGTCATGAGGAATTATAAAGTACATTAGCGTTAGCATCTTCGCCACTCTCACTATTGTTGATATCATTTTCAATGAACCGAGTTAAGCAACGTTGATTAGACGATTATGGTCAGTGTGAGGATAATTAAAATTTGTACAAGTACATGATGTCTCCACGGACTTCAAGACGATTGCATAACAAGAGATTCAGCAAGAACCGACATCTCCGTTACTTGACCGATATCTCATGTCGGTTATCACATGTCGGTCACTACATGTCGGATACAACATATCGGTTATAACTGGATGAACCGATATCTATGATGTGCCACGTCAACACTGAAAGGCGGCAACAACTCATCATAAATCATCATTACGTTTGTCCAAGTGGCGTGCTATCAAGAGAAGTAGCAAGAAGCCGCCTTTGACCTTGAGAAATCGCAAGAAGCCGCCTTTGACCTTTCAAATGTAATGATTACTTTACAGATAAATGTTGTACATAAATATAAAAGGAGAAAACAGTTCTCCAGAGAAAAAGGAGAGACACATATACAATAATAATATTCAGAAAAATTCCATCTCCTTTTATCGAACATATAAGCTTCTATTGGTTTATCCTGAGTTCACTCCAAATCCTTATCGATTATAAAGTTGTTAATTTTCGCTTGACAACAGTTTGGCGCTAGAATAAGGGCAGCGTCACGTTTTTAAGTTAACTTTCGCTTTTAAGCCATCTTCACGCTCGAAGCCATCATGTCGCAGTCTGGTCGAGATCACGTAACTCATCCTGGCCAAAGCCAATCGACTAACCATTCTCCACGGCGTGCAACACCACCTCCTCCGGTCACGAATATCACGAACTTTCTTCAAAATCCAGAGTTTATTCAAGGTTTGACTTCGTTGATAGCTAAAGCCATGCCCAGGAACTCGAATACGATACCGTTATCGATGCCATTAACTACTAACCCAACAGAACATCCAACCCACACTCATCATGACCCTGAAACACATGTAGCAACATCACATGCCACGTCGCAACTTCATCATACTTCTCCACGTCGAGAAGAGCGGACTCATGTAACTGTTAATCCCGTAACGAACAATCAAGCCCCAGATCAGCCTTCTGTGCAGGACATGACTGCTGAAACTCATTCTGCTCATCACCAGAGAATTTCGCCACGTCCTAGACCCATTTCGTCAGCACCTCACGCTCGCGAAGATTTGCGGCGCCAAATTGAACGGAATCGTCTTTCAAGACATAGTGCAGAGGAAATTGAAACTCTCCGTAAACGCTTGGCTGAACTTGAGACGCGACAGAAGTCACAGGAAGACTCTACGCGACATGTCACGATGTCGGGAAATGTTATTATCGAGACGGATTCCCCTTTAGCCCCCGAACTCACTGCGGAGGCACTCCCTGTGAAAGTAAAAATCCCGCAAATTGGCATGTATGATGGGACATCAGATCCGGATGCACACTTGGGCCATTATACATCCTGGATGGATTTACATGGTGCTTCAGACGCTTTGAGGTGTCAGATGTTTTCGCTTACACTGGGGCCACGAGCACAAAAATGGTACATACTCTCCCACCTCATTCGATTTGGAAATGGCAACAGTTGCATGCAGCTTTCCGATCGCACTTTATCGGTGCTCAAATTTGCCTTATTCCGAAAGAATCGATTACCAACATTGTGCAAAAGGATGACGAGACTGTTAAAGACTATGTGTCTCGGTTCAACGACCGGATTCAGAACATGGAGCCTTGTCACCCTGAAACTTTGTTAGTAACTGCTATTGTTGGACTCAAGCCCAACTCAATGTTTCGTTGGACCTTGTGTCAAAATAAACCTGCTACGTTTCAAGAGTTTCTTGTGCGAGCTCAACAATTCATTATTGCCGAAGAATCCATGTCGGTTCTCAGTTTCGACTTCTCGGTGAAGGAAAGCAAGACTGAAACGGACGCTAAAAAGAAGAACAAGAAGAACTTTGGGAAAGCACAGTTTCGAAACTCCTCCAAAGGATATGAAATACTCCAGAGTCTCGGGCTGCTCGTGATCAGTATTCAGACAACGTCAGGACAGGTTATCATGCTGTTTATTCCGCCGGAGCAGCTACCATATATGAAGAACTGAAAGGAAAAGGGATTATCCCAGACCCAAGGCCTGTGAGAACCCCTGAAGACAAGTTGGACAAAACTCGGTACTGTGCATACCATAAGTCTCCCGGACACAATACCGATGAGTGTCTCGGTCTTTTGTCGGCACTCTTACGCTTAATCGGACAACCTCAACTTCAAAAGTTTCGAAATTTTGATAACCGCCGGAAAGGAAGGCTCTTGGATCTTTCAGACGATGAAGATGAAGATAACCGACCCGCTAACCAGAAAAGAGCTCGCGCAAATGATAAGGAGGTTTTTACATTTTCTACCCATGTTGGAACCTCGACTGATAACTGCAGGAAGTCTAAGATACATGATGCCTTAGACTCTTCACATTTCATACCTTGAGTCAACTCCAATAACAAACAGTTAGATACGTCTCGACGGAAAGTCAAAGCCTATGCCCGGGAAGCACAGAATGCCGAGAAACGAGTCATGAATGTTGACCTTCGAGATACCATTAACAAACGGAATTGTCCTAT